CAATTTGACATATCATACACCTAATTTGACTAAGAAAAGAAGCGGGAATAATTTTCCCAAACTCGCACCAGAACAACCACTAGTGCAGTGGCCATATGAGCAGTCCGTGCTCTTTGCCTTCTACAGGCCGACGTGCAACCCAGAAAATTCCCAAATTTTACCACAAGGTATAGGACATCTCAAGATTTAAAACGGAGTATGGAACGTCCGTATCGGACCTCTGAGGAGGGAGATATTCTTTCACAAAGTTAGCCTAAATTCTGCCAATTTCTAGAAATTTCGCCAGAGTTTCCTTTATTTTTCCAATAAATTCCATATTTGCAAATGTGTTCTCTAACCTCAATTTGTACCTAATAAACATGGGTGGCACACAAGGATCAGCAATGCATTGGTGCTCTTACAACCCTTCACAGATTATATCCAATTTGCTCAAAATACATAATCAATGCTTACTTTTTCAAGTTAACTAATTTCAATCACAAAGGTCCAATTGGATACATTCTTTGAATCATAAGTCATCATTCACATCTTAGAATAAGTCTATTTCCCTTTCATCATATTACATGCTTCAATATTACATCAAGTCCCCATATCACAATTTACAACTTCCTTACAACTATTACAATTGTCCTTCAAATATACATAATAAATGCTTCAAAATAAATCATGACAATCAAAGACTAAACTTAGACAAAATACATCATGAACAACAATGACAACACTTTAATAACATGCATTAGTCATAACCTAAGTCTAGCTTAGGCTCAATGCCCACCAAAATACAAAATAGGTAAAAGTCCTCATGCTCAACCTACGGGCTTTTTGCCCGCCGCCCCGACACCACTGCTACCTCCTGAAATAAAGTCCCCAAAGCGGGGTGAGATATACAAATATATCTCAGTAACCCAGAGGTTCTGGAGAATACTCCGCCCTATGGCTCACTTCGATGCACATAAACAATATAACATAACATTCGAAAACGGAATAAAACAAGGGATTTAGTGAAGTAGGGAAGCATAGGGAACAAAATACGATGAAGGTGGAATGGTCAATGCCAAAACCACGCAACGTCCAGCCTATTAACCTCGGCATATAGCCTACGGGTTTTAAACCAAGGTGTGTTCCCAGAACATCAACAAAGGCACCTTCCATCCATATCCACCTGAGACTTCCTAGTGTGCTCCTATCCGGATAACACACCACGACCCCAGGTCAACTGGAACTCCCACACGGAGACCTATCCAGTGGAAGTCTGTAACGCCCGAAGGCAAACAGTCTACTGGCCAAAGACACGGTACATCCTATGTACCACAACACATACAATATGCATGAACATGTTATCCTATATTATTTACATACATTTCCTACCATTACCCTCAACGGGCATGGTGGAACACACACGGGGATCAAATCCCAGTACCAAGGGATTACCTGTATAATCACCTTCTCGCAGCTCCAAAGCAATAAATCCCCGAGCTAGGTACAACAGAAAGGCCACAATCCCTTTTGGTCCGGGACCAAGGGCAACCCACCGAGCTCACGGTTCAGGGTTCAAATTCGCGGGAGGCAACCTACAATGACCATACAAGGAATCAATACACAGTGAATCCATCAAATTCACAAACGTCAAATTCCCTCCCCTACACATGGTAGGTTCGGCCAAATTAGTGTAAAATTACAAAATATTTTCTTACATTTTATTTATTTTTCTTTAGCATAAGGCTTCCACAATGTCATTTTAGGTGCCACATTACATCCTACATCATCACAACCTCATTTTGCCATTTATTTCCTTCTAGGATCAATTGCACATTCCAACACAATCCAAATATTTTTTCTATTTATTTTCAAAGCATCCAATTATCACATAACCCTTCTAATTACCATTTAACAACCCAACATATCAAGCACACAATTTCACAACATAAAACCCCAATTTTCCTCTCTTTGGCCGAAATCCACATGTCCACCTACCAATGGTTATCCAATTCAATTCAACATTCCCAAACATCATACAATATAATAATCCATCCATACAAACACTCAACAACTCAATTACACAATCCTACAATACATCAATTTCATAAAGTGATGAAACCATAGCCAAAATTTACTAAGTTAAAATCCCAAATTCAACAATAATTTTTATCACATCAATCACTCTAAATTATCATTCTAAGCCACATTTGTCTAATGCACATTTTCAATTTGAGCTCTCTAACTACATCAATTACACAACTCATGCTCTAGGTTTTCCAAATTTAAATTCATGAATCAAGCCATAAAATGTGTTGAAATATACTCACAAGCTTGGCTTATGACCCCTCCAAGTGATCCCCAAGCAATGGCTTGAACAAACAACTCCAAAAATCCCAAAAATATTCAAATTTTCGTGGCTGGTTTTGGCCCATTTCTCACAAATGAGAGGGTTTCAAGGAAAACAAATCGGTGGGATGTGTTCGGATGACGATTTCTAACAACTTTGCTCACAAACTTTTCTTGATTCGAGGTTGTATTGAAAGAGTTATGAGGAAGAGAAGTTTTGGAAGCTTTTCTTCCACTTCCATGGAGCAACTCAGTTTTGGTGAGGGGGGAGGAGAGAGAAATGGCTGATTTTGTGGTGTTGTGCAAGGTGGCAAGTCCACTTAAGTGAGGTGGGCACCACCGCCACCTCACGCGATTTCAAACTAATTCGAATTTTCCTCCTATTTCGCTAAACGTTCATAATTTCCTAAAATAATTAGAAACTCTAATTTTTAACATTAACCATTGTCCTTTAATTATCCTTGATCAGAAGAATCCAGAGTTTTCCGGTCGTTCGGAAAAAACGCTGTTTTAAGCTGTTATGCACGACGTGGGCGCGCTTCCCCAAACTCACTAATTTCCGTCAATTTTTCTCAGAAATCATATTTCCTAGTCTTATATACCATTTATAACTTATATCAAAACCTAGAGCTCAGAATTCAATCGACACGCTTTACGGTGCAACTGTAGCACAATATTTTAAAACACTATTCATCGAATTTTCAGAAACTTGCTTAACCACTCGATTTTTCGTTCTGAATCCATTTTCAGTTTTATTTTTATCATTTGAGACCTCCTACTCAATTTTACCTTCCTAGGGTTACGTGTTCGGTTAATTACCGTTTTACCCTTTCTTTGTATTTTGACCTAATTTTCAGGATTTTCACTAATCCTTCCCTTTAATCCATGTTTAATATATTAATATATGTTTTAGAAATACGAGGTGTTATAACAACTATGGGTACAACAATTACTAGCAGATTTGATTTATTATTTCATGAACCTACAGACCTCCCACCCCATCGCCAAAATAGATCATGAAATCCATCTTTAACCTCATGCAATTCCTGTTAATGTGAAGCCATATAGATACCCCATTTTCAGAAAGGAGAAATAGAAAAACTAATAGCACATATGCTTAACTCTAGCTTTATTAAACATAGTACCAACCCTTTTTCCTCTCATGTGCTCTTAGTAAAAAAAAAGATAGTACTTGGAGGTTTTATATTGATTATAGAGCCCTCAATGCTATCACCATCAAGGATGGGTTTTTCATTCCCAGTGCTTATGAACTAATGGATGAATTAGGAGGATCTCAAGTATTTTCTAAGTTGGATTTAAGTGCCGGAAATTCGCATAAACTAGAGGATGTCCATAAAACAACTTTTAGAACTCATCAAGACCATTATGAGTTCTTGGTTATGCTCTTTAGGTTGACCAACGCCCCTTACACATTTCAAGCTTCCATAAACCTCATTTTACAACCTTATTTGTGCAAGTTTGTTTATGTTTTCTTTGATGATATACTTGTGTATAGTCATTCTATGGATTCCCACATTCAACACCTATGACAGGTCTTACTCACTTTACAGAAACACCAGTTTTTCATTAAGAAAAGTAAATCTTTTTTTGCCCAAAAAGATGTGGAATACCTTGGGCATGTTGTGTCCAACAATGGTGTAAGCATGGATCCCAACAAAATAAAAGCCATGCTAAACTGGCCTATTCCCAAGAATATCAAATAGTTGAGAGGATTCCTTGGCCTTACAGGCTATTACCATAAATTTGTACAAGGATATGCAAGCATTGCAACGCCTTTAACCGAGCTACTTATAAAAGATGCTTTCCTATGGTTTAATGCTGCTCAATTAGCCTTCAATTGTCTCAAAGTGGCCATGACTTCTGCTCCAGTATTAGGCTTACCTAATTTTGATCAAGATTTTATAATGGAGACTGATGTTTGAGACCTCGGTGTTGGTGCTGTTCTATTTCAAGGGGACCACCATCTTGCATATGTTAGCAAAAAATTGTCGCTGTGAATGCAACGAGCTGCAGCTTATGTTAGGGAATTATATGCAATCACTAAAGCCGTGAAAAAATGGAGGCAATACTTATTAGGAAGGAGATTCATAATTAGAATAGATCAAAAGAGTTTAAAGGCATTATCGGACCAAGTAATCCAGACTCCAGAGCAGTAATATTATTTGTCCAAGCTTCTAGGCAAGGACAATTGAGTAACAGATGCCTTATCTAGACAGCTAGAAATAATGACTCTATCAACTAACCAATTTGATATATTAGCAGCCCTTAAGCAAGAGAACTTCAATTCTTATTTCTTTAAACAGAAATACCAAACATTGGAGTTTGATCCTACTTTACATCCAGACTTGCAGGTTTATAATGGTTTACTGTTAAAGAAGGGCAAATTGCTTATCGACCCTTCTTCCCCTTTGGTACATCAGATTTTACTAGAGTGTCATTCGACCCTGGCTAGTGGCCACTTTGGTATTCAGAAGACAGCTTCTCGTGTCTCTACTAGTTTCACATGGTCCAATCAGAAATTTTGTTAATTCATGTTTGATTTGTCAACAAGTCAAAACTCCAACTCAGTCACCTACAGGGCTTCTCCAACCTATTCCTATCCCTGGAAGAATATGGGAAAACCTCTCTATGGACTTTATTGTTGGACTTCCAAATTCTTGTGGATGTACCACAATTCTGTTGGTTGTTGACAAGTTATCAAAAATGGCGCACTTTGGTATATTGCCTAAGAATTATGATGTAGTGAAGGTGGCAAACATTTTCACTCATATGGTTTGTAAGCTTCATGGCGTTCCAAGATCTATCATCTCGGATAGGGACAAAATTTTTTGAGCAAATTTTGGGTGGAGCTATTTCAAATGAGTGGTACATATCATCCACAATCATATGGCTAATCTAAAGTGATGAATAGAGTGCTTGAACAGTACTTAAGATGCTTTATAGTTGATTCTCCAAAGCAATGATCCAAATTTTTGCCATGGGCAGAGTTTTGTTATAACGCTGCCTTTCATTCAGCAGCAGGCATGTCCCCCTTTAAGTTGGTATATGGACGTGAACCACCCTCACTTTTAGACTATGTTCCCATTGCAGCAACGCTTCTAGAGGTTGATTCATTACTCATTGATAGATATCTAGTGATCCAGCAGCTCAAAAGTAACTTGGAGAAGGCTCAGTGACATATGAAACAACAAGCAGATGTACATAGGCAAGATATACAAGTGATCTAGTGTGGGTTCGACTTCACCCTTACATGTAGCAATCAGTTGCCCTTCGCAAAATCAACAAGCTTGGTCGTCGTTACTTTGGACTTTTTCCTATTGAAAGAAAAGTAGGCAGGGTTACATACATACTTAGTCTGCCACCATCTGCAAAGATCCACCATACCTTTCATGTTTCTCTCTTAAAACCATTTCGAGGAGACCAGGACATACCTCTATTTCCATTGCCTGATATGTTCAGTGCTGGTTTACCAGTTCTCCAACCAAAACAGATCCTTGCTTCTCGCCAGAACACTGAGTTTAGGTGTTGTGGGATGGAATATCACTAGAATTGACTACTTGGGAGCCGGTACATAAGTTCCAGCAACAGTTCTCTACCTTCAATCTTGAGGACAAGATTATTTTCAATGGTGGAGGTATTGATACAGGAATGCACCAAGAAGTAGAAATTGAAGATGAAGTTACAAAGACAACAGAGGTAATAGAACAACAAGAGCGTAGTATTGCTGAAAGGAAAGGAAAGAAGAAGATTAACCAATTAGATTTAGAGATGACATGTAATGAGCATGTAAAGGTTACTTAGAATGGTTCACAATTGTAATAAAAAGAGAACAGAGTCAGACACGTGGGATGTACTGTGATTGGAAGAATAAACAATTTCTTTTTTTCTCAACTCCTTCCAGACTCTCTCTCTCTCTCCTCTACCTTTTCCCCAAATTTCCTCTGAAGTAATACATCTCTACCAGGAAACTTCGAAGATTAATGAAAAAGAGAGAATGATTATTGGGCAAAAGGATAGTGCAGTGGTCTAATTTCGAATCGCATTCGATGGGATGAACCGAGGTTTAAATCAAATCAATTAAGTGGGGAAATAAGTACTCTCGTTGTATCGAGTAATGGATGCACCTATTAGGGCAAATATGACAAAAAAAAATAATACTTTTAGATTCTCCTCTGCCAAGCTCTTATTCGCAACTCGAATTTGACCTGTTATGGCATCTTTCAAACACCGAAACCGCTTATTGTTTGCAGTGCAAGGGCAGTGTAAGTTCTAGCGGAGCCAATCCCTGCAGCTTGTTCAAACGAGGAAACCACAATCTCCATCTAGTGATGGTACTGTCTGTACCTTTGCTCCACCTTCAACCAACAATACAAAAAATGAAATAAAAAAAAAACAATAGCAAACTGATTACGATCGTAATCTTCTAATTATATTAAGACCATAAAAAAACCAAAAATACTAATTGAAGTGAATAACAAATTAATACCTCATCAAGCATGCTGATTAGATTTGCTTTCTTCATCTGAATTTCTTGTCTTTCAGCAGTGCTAACATGAGAGAGTACTTTTCTCCGAAAAAATTTGGAAATTTTTCTCAACCAAGAATACTTGGTGGTATTTTTTTGTTAGGATTCTCCTTCACAAATTTAATTTATTTTTCGCAGAAAAAATTTAAAAATCCTAAATTCTAGTAAACTAGGATTTTTAATGTGAATTTTAAGAGAATCTAAAATTTATCTCTATACCAAAAGCTCCTTATATTATCCTCATTTTTATGGGTATTTCCATCTATATCCCATATTTTCTTCTTTTTGGCCAAGAAATATGTACTTCAATGGCCAATTCTTCTTGTTTAGCTTGAATATACCAGAAAAACAAAAAGTTAAACGGGCCAAAAAAGAAATAAAAAAGGAAAGTATAGAGTTAAAAAAGGACAACTGAGAGAGAAAAATGTCAGAGAGAAAGGGACGTCCTTTCTTTGTATAAATAAAAGTGTTAACCTGACATATGAATAATCGGACCTAGACAATTACTTCAAGATTAAATGGATCTATAAAGGAAAAATCTGAAACATTTTTTGATACCGGATCAAACATGTCGCGCAACAAAGCAGACCTTTTCTACAATGTTATTGTCAAGTTATGCTAACGTAACAAAAAGAGAAAAAGAAGTATCATTCTGAATGACACAAACTAATGTCATTTTAGATGTTTTATACAAAGTATAATCGGTCATACTTTGTGTAAAACTGAAAAGTTACTTTTTTTTCTCTCTCCAATCACATCGCTGACGTGTAAAGTGAAAAAAAATAACTTTTTAAAATTACACAGAATACGACCGGTAGTACTCTGTGTAACTCATTAAAAAGACACAACTTGTGTCGTTTTGAATGACACACGGTAAACCCTAACAAAAATATCATAAATTAGTAAATTTTTAAACAAATGCAATCTACAAGAGTAAGGAAGAACGCCAAGTAATAAAGAAGACCGTGCGTGCCAGAGGAACAAATAAATCATGAACAAGTAACGAAAGGCTCAATTAATAAAAATGCATCTCAATATGAAATGTCATATGTACAACCACTCCACTATTATTGCCCGGGGAAAGATTTGTATAACCTCATTTATATAGCAGTGAGAGAGAGAGAGAGAATAAGTGCAGCAATTTCGAAATGTGTGTATAAAATCCTAAAATGGCAGTAATAAACCGCAGAAATATGGCATATCTAGATAGAAAAACAAGCGGAGAACAAGTGTGACGATCATCTTCTAGAATACTTCCTGAGATAAATGACAGAAACCACTATTATCTACAGGACCCCAACTGTTATGTACATTGCATTCTGATTGCTCTTGCACTATAATTTCTCAGCGATTCTCCCCAGAGCATCTGCAAGCTTATCAAGTACAGCAACCAAGTTATTTGCGTGGTCTTTCCGCTGCTCCCGATCCAACTGGAAATTTATATTTTGCACTTCGAGCTGAGCGCTTAGCATCTTGCCATTTCTTTCTAAGACATCAATTAATTGATATTGCGAAGTTTCCTCCTCTCCGTCTGTTGCTAACCGTTTCCTTTTCCGTTGTCCTTGAGATGCAGAACCCATTTCCTCTCCTTCTGTTGCTAACCGTTTCCTTCTCAATTCTCCTTGAGCTGCAGAACCCATTTCGGGATTTGAAGCTTGCTGTTTGTCATTGTTCACACCTACAGAATAAAAAAAATGTGTAAACAAGTCAAATGTATAGTCATGCATCAGTTAACTCCTTAACATCATAAATGTCAAACCAGCACCTTTGCTTTCACGCCTATTATGAGAAACTACAGCCACAGCTGAAGCTAAAAAGTTCAAAATTCCATAATCAAAGCTTGTGGCTAAGAAACAGTTATTTCAAAATCCTAAGCTATTACATGGAGCTCTAAGAATGACTTTTATCTAAGAATTTTCCATTTACGAATAAAATTCTTTTGAAACATGAATAGTAAAAACATAATTAATCATACCATGTGAGGCATGTACAGAATTTGGACCATTAAGGAATAAGTTACGGCACAATTTAATATTGTGGAGAAGTTATTTTGGATCAACATAGCAGCTGACACGGTTCACTCATATATAAGGAACTTCGATCTATTTTATATTCTACAGATGCATGATTTATACCTGAGCTTTCAAGTAATTTCAAGATCCTTTTAAGTAAGCAATCACACGTTGGATGACTCTGTCCTATTCTATCAATTCCCGATTCCCATAATGAAATTTAGTACAATAAGGATATTAAAGAAATGGGAAAAGAAAATAGTTATATATTAGCATTATTAAAAATTTCAAATGCAACAACAGAAAACTGATGTAAAGAATGAGCAAACAATCGACTGTCTTCTCAGGTGGCTGATTAGAAATGCAGCTGCTGCAGGAATCAGAAGCAGCAACAGAAACAAAAGCACTAATATTTTGAACAACGTAACAAGCTGTCACACATAGATTTTAGCTGATTGAAGGTCTACAAGCTCCAAGTTCACTATATTCTGAAGATGGGGTAAATTATCATTGAAGCTTCCATGTTTTTGGGTTAGCCATCTTGTCATTGATTGCAGATTAAGTAAAACAGGCATCAGCCTTTGGGTTCACAGTTCACGGGAAAGGATCCTCTTATATGATATGAGATCATATGAGACGATACTAGTTGTCCATAAACAAATCAATGGTTATGGAGAGCGCATTAGGATAGAGAATGAGAAGAAATAACCATTATCTGTCAATGAATGGCTGAGATTGTGTCACATGACCTCCGGAGTCCGGTCATATGAGAGGATTTATTCCGAGGGCCCACTGCATCAAGATTGGATAGATGAGAATGCTAAATTCAAAACAGAACAGAACATAGAAGCCGAATTGGATCAAATATAAAGTTCAATTGAACATATTGCGACAGCTAAATGCTATTGCTAACTATATCATTGGAATCTTAAAACGATACATGTGATTCTTAATCGATCATTACATCCTTCGTGAACTCAACAAATTTTCGAGGCTGCTATTCTCATTTCCAATATCTCAAACAATCACATAAATGCGGTAAACAGGAATTCTATCTTGAGCATTACCTTCACCTTGGCAGCCAGGGAGGAGTGGTTGATATTGCTTCTCTGTAAATCAGAAGAAAACATGAGCGAAAAAGTCCCAAACGGTAATCAGACAACATATTCCCAACTTTATAAGAGACAAGAGTAAACACGGCATAGCTAGAAGAAAAAGAAAATAAAGCCTCATGCCAGTAGGTGCCGGGAACAAGATGGTAGTACTAGTAGGTGCAGAAAAGCCACAAAAATGAAATCACAAGATAAAAAAAGAAAGAAAAAAAGAAAGTAAAAGGAAGCCTCAACCAGCAGTGTTCCCTAAATAAACAAAAGTGAATTGAACCTGAGATAGGAATAGGAGCAGGAATGTCCTTAGAAGGCGCCAAAACATTCTTCTTCTCAGGACTGGCACCCACTTCTTCTTGTTCAAAATCTGAGAACAAGCCATCCTCACCAACCGCGCTCCTATTACTATCATACAGGTGTGGCTCAGTGTAATCCTCATCCGCCACTCTTTTGTTGTCCTTGTCCTTGTCCTTGTCCTTGTCATTGCCAACCGGCTCCGTCACTGTTGCTGGAGTCGATGACAGAGCAAGAGCTAACGCCGGCGCCTGCGACCCTGAATCTAGAATATCATAGACCTCCTTGTCGAAAAATCCGGGCAATTTCCTCTCTCTCCTTAAATCGTTTCTCATGACCCAAAACGATTCCGTCTCCTCCCTTATTTGAGACTCCCATTCTTTGATCTTCTTGTAGTCTCCGGCCAAATTGCTCCACCTTTTCCGGCACTGAACTGGACCCCTGTTCACTCCATGCTTTCGGCAGTACGAAGACACCGATGCCCATTTCGGCTCCACCTGACCCGACCCGAATGGCAATCCCGCGGTGCGACCCCTCCTAAACTTGTTCTCTGCGTCTCTCTTTCCCTGTATCAGAACCAGAATCTCCTGCCTTGTCCAGCGGGGCAGTCTCGGCGCTTTCCCTCCTTCATCTCCTCCTTCCGTCGACGCCAGCCGAGCATCCACGCCGTTAGCGTTTCCGTCTGCTTCGTCAACTGGGTTCGTATTCTGACCCAACGATAATTTCTGCTCTAAAGCCATCAAGTTGAGGTTTTTGAAGGGCACGTGACTCAAAGGATGTTGGTGTAGTGACGGCGCTTTTGGATGTCCGTTACGCCGTCTGGGACAGAGGGTCAGCTCATCTCTCTCAGTGAGCAGGAGGAGAGAAAATAGGTGCAGAAATGGACGAGAAAGAGAGGCTTTGTGGCATTTGTGATTGTTATTTGTAATTGGGGTTTCAATTTTTCACTGGCTACATTATACACTAAACAGCTTATTGACCTTTAACCACCGAATAAAAGCTTATTGACCCTTAACCCCTTAATAAGGGTTTTCTATTATTATATTATTTATTGGCTCGTATCTTTAATTTAATCCTTTATTGATGAGATTTTCTTTCATTACAAAATACAAACGAGGAGAAAGTTCCTGGGATTGTTATAGTCACGAGGGATTTAGATAAATTATATTAGATTATGTATTTAATTTTCATTTACATAAAAAAAAAATATGAAGGAAGAGTTAATTCGCCGCTTCGAAATAAAATATGAACCCCAAGGGTAGCTCAGTTGGCAGCTGAGCTCCCAAAAAATTGCTTGGTGCAGGGATCAAGGGCCAGAGGATAAGCTAAAAAATTTTCGGTCTCATTCTTTCTCCGGTTGCGAAGCTTTAGTTCAAATGGGCCGTGTGCCCGGAGAAAGTTGAATAATGTACAAAAAAAAAAAAAAAATCAGGAAAAGCACTTTCAAATATTCGTTGGCACTTTTCTGATTCTAGATCATTTTTTACGAAAATTTCTCATTCACATTGAGGATTCTATGTTATCCTATTAAAAACTTGAGAATTATATTATCACATTTAATAATGGCTTTAATAATAAACTATTAAATTATTTAAAGTATTTTTTAATTTCTTTTTCGGTGATGTTGTGGGGCGCTCAAACTTGTAAATGCTCGTGCAGTTCTGCCCCAATCTATGATTTGGTGAAAAATAATTTAAACAGTCTTTGCAAAATATGATTTGTTTTTTTATTATTTTAATTCTACTTCAAGGAACGCTAGTATTTTAGTTCGACCATTCCTAATTATTTTTTCTTCTTTTTTATATTGCTTAAATTAAGGTCGATGCAAAAAAAAGTAACTTCATTTGATTGAATTAACCATTAGTTAGTGATATATTCAAAAATACTAATAACATTTTTTCAACACTTCTTTTATTATTGAATAAATTATTTACTAATCCTACTAAATTTTATCAGTGAAAATGGAATGAAACTTTCCAGTCGATCTCACTATGTACTTGCAAGGCATTACTGATCTTAACGTGTTTAACAAAATGTTCTAGATATATATTTTATAGTTTAAAAAATGATTTGTATCAATTATCTATTAATATAATATTTTAAATTATATATTAATCTTTTGCTTTGAAAGGAAACAATTTCTCAATCTCTTAAATTATATATAAAAATATATATATTAATTACATGCGTCACTTTTGATACATGAAACATTAAAAATAAAAGTAAAAAAATGCAATAAGCTAATTATATTGGATAGGATCATTCCTACTCTAAGGAATGGTAATTTTCGGAATGAAATAACATTCTATTGTTTAAAATTAAATTAAATTTAAATAACATAAATATCCTTGTGAGAAAATAAATAAATAGGATTAATTTTTCTTGTGTATATTGTTTATATTTGATTTTTAATAACGTTAAAAAAAATGTTGTAATTAAAACAGAGCAGCACTGTTTTATCCATGATTCATGAAGAACATTGAACACCAAATCAAGAAGAAAACATCTTTTGATGAAACAACTGCGATCATTGGTTCGTTCTTTTTGTTTAGAGTAAATATCATTTTTGGTCCTCAGCAAATTTCACGATACCAGCTTTAGTCTCTAGCAAATAAAAAGGTTATTCGTGGTCCTAAGAAATTCAAAGTGGACCAATTTAGTTGAAATCGTGAGTTCTCACAAATTTAAAATGGACCAATTTAGTTGAAATCGTGGGCTCTCACAATTTCAAAAAAGATCCACATTAGTCCCTCAAAAGGATTAAAATGGGTCCACTTTGAAATTCTTAGGGACCACGAATAGCCTTTTTATTTGTTAGGGACTAAAGCGGATATCGTAAAATTTGCTGAGTACCGAAAAAGATATTTACTCTTTTGCTTTTTTGCTATAAGTAAGACACGTCTAACTGTTTCTGTTTAAAGTATGCGAAGAAGAAAAGAAAAATATAGAAGCTATTAAAAATATAGAAGATGTTATACTTACTACCAAAAAAGTTTACCACCTCTCTTATAATCGTTGGATGAAATCAAATCAATGAATGTCATTTGATACAATTTTTTTCTCTCTCTTCAACCACATCCTCCACACACTCTCTCTTTCCTCCTTTTATAATGTTTTGTTGACCACTATCCAACAGTTACAAATACAGTATTAAGAGGTGGTAAACTTACTTGCTAGTTATAATATATTATTCCCCTAAAAATACTAATCATTTTTCATGAATGTTGATCCATATTTAAGAATCAGATAAGTCAGACAATTGCTACATCATTATAACAATTCACAAGACTTAATATCATACTGTTACGATCTGACAGATCGAAATGTCCAATCAGAGATTGATATGTCAATATAGGATCTGTTTGCCCTCTCTCAAGTACCTATGGAGGAGGTACCCTAGAGATCAGCGGATTACTGTGCACAATAATAAAGACGATATAGTCAAAGCGTGGGATGTGTGCACAGTGACAAGCTAAGAGAGAGGGTTTAGAGTATGTGTACTTTATTGGTTTAACCCCTTATTTATAGATGAGTTACTTGACAAGAATGAACTTTTGGGCTCTTAAGAATATTGGGATCCAATTGTTGATCTATTGTTGCCATAGTAGGATTAGTATAATTAAGGAGAATTTTCTTAATTCTCCTCTTAGCCATTTGTACTGTTGGGGTCTATAAGCCCACTACGTTCTCTTTGGGGATGATGTCACTATATGGATGATACTTCTAGCACAGGTAAAGACCAAGCTAGGAAGCACTATTCCAAGTATGATGCAAGCATATAACAATGGAGGGTTTAGTGTGTGTATGAGTGTGACTTAATACAAATGAGCATAATAACGAGGGGGTCAACCCTCCTTGGGATCTGCTAGGGGTGGCAGATGCTGCTGAGGGTGGCAGTCGCTGCTATGATAGTAGTGATGCATCCCTTATGCCTGGCGATGTCAGCATATGACAAAGGGAAGTTTCCTCTCATAGTACCTGGGGCGGTCTCCTTAGGGGCTAGAATCCCAAGATGAGACGTTTTAGTGTCTCTCCTAGGGAGTGTCACCGCGTTGGGGGTTGGGGGCTGAGAGTTGGTAGGGCTGACGTGGATAGGGATTTGGGCTTGAACCTTTGGACTGCTATGTTGTTGGACCATCCGGAACACCGTTAATCCTATTTGAAGCTTCTAGAATGTGACCTTTGTCGGATCCATAACACATACAACAAACTTGAAGCAAGTGATGAGTGAACTCTGACTACGACTAAGCAAACTAAACCAGTCCTACTTTACCTGTGAGCATGTCAAGGATTGTGAGTGAGATCGAGTCACATAATTCCCAACTCACTATCATGACCTGAATGAGCACAAACTTCAGAAGGCCCCTCGGAGTGTTTGTGTCAATTCATAACCGGTTCCTTTCCTTTCACAGTAAATGATCTCCTTTTTTTTCTACTTCAGCAAGTTCAACCTTCTCCTTGGTCATTGTGCTTACATCCTCAGCTACTTTTGCAACAGCAGTGAAAGCACTTGACACCCATGAAGCTCCAGTTGATACGTAAGGATAGCTCACGATACTACTTGCCTTATGCTCAGCAACAACAATAGCAGACTTAGTTTTTCAGAAACTTGAAACTTCTAATCCATCTCTCTCACCTTCTCATTGACTATAGCTGTTCTAATGCTTAGTTTACCTCTCAAATCCATTTTACGATAAATGGAAGCAACTGCGGCAGAAGCATTTGAGGTCAAGTGGTGACGTTCATCAATGGATTTTGCCCTGTTGATTGCAACCTTTCCCAACATGAAACCCTTGGCATGTTGGGAATCGTATAGGGAACCCAAAAACTCTTGGTGTGCATAATAGGATACGAAGGTCTTACGCAGTGTTTGGTATGGGAGAAATTTTTTTTTACTAGAGAAATGTAATTGATAGGGAAATGGTTAGAAAGTGAGTTTGGTAGGAAAATGTAAAAAAAGTTGTTTGGTTGACCGAAATATTATCAGGAAAATTTATTTAAATATGCAAAATCTATGTTCGGGAGAAACTTTGCACCTATTTTTTCATTTCCCCAGTTATCTCAAAATACCACATCTCAAGTGGTATTCTGTAACAGTGAATTTCATCCAAAAATCAACACAAAAGTCATTTTCCCATCTATCCTATTTGCCTAGTATTTTTTGAAAAAACCTGAACCAAACGTGGTATTTTCTAATATCCACTTACACTTTCCCATCAATCCCAAAATAAACCCTCAACCAAACACTACCTTATAGTATTTTACAGTATAAGAACTACTTATACAAGGTCTGATTAAATTTTAATACTATTCAGTATTTGGCGTGACATAGTATAAGATAATTTATTGTATAAAATAATATTATCCAGTGTTTGGTAATGCACGGTATAATATTAGATAGGATAAAAATAAATATTTTTGACAACAATATCCTTTAATAAAGAATTTATATAATTCTTCTAAATATGTCATGTGATATTAATTTTTATAAAAAAATTTGATCAATATATCCAAAAATATATATTAATTTTTGTAGAAATAAAAATCTTCAATATTTAAAAAAAAAAAAAAGTTCATGACTACTATATATATTAAATTAAAAAATCAATGGTTTATAAATTTTTTTTTGGTATGTTAGTACAGAATATTTTGGGAAAAAATATAAAAGAGGGCAAAATTTTCATTGTAAGTAAATATTTTTAATTTGAAAAATAATAAATAATCATGAAACATTCTAAATTTTCAATTATTTTTTATTTATCTTTATAAGTATTATATAACCTCTTAATTTAAAAATAAAACTTTTACCAACCCTTCTCTTAATAAATAATCTCATGCAGACTGATAAAATTGATATATTTTTAGAAATAAATATTTACAAGGCTCACTTCACAAGATATTGCAATACAACAGAATACGATAAGACCGAAAGAAAAGTAT